ACGGTTTGTCTGACAACGGTCTGTCCTGTAAGCGGTGTTAGAGCATTACCGCTAAAGCGTGTAAAATTGCTTGGTTGGAATATCCGTGTTTCGACCTGTGGACGTTAGATGGCTTAACGCTCAGGCCGCTCCCAATTGCAGGGTTCACGTCTGTGGGAGTTGGGCTGATAATACCCATGCTTTGAAGTTTCACACTGGGCTCGGAATCTGGTTATGTGGGTCATGTGGGAGCTATGCTGCACAGCTGCTGCTCCAGTCGGTTAAACCATGTCCTAAGAGAGCCGAGGGTAGTCGTAAAGACTGTCTTAAGAATATTGAACCGGGGTCTGGCCTAAAGCTTACAGCAAAGCTGAGAAGGCCGGACAAGCGGCACGATCAATGCAAGCAACAGCAACCGACACAGCCGCAATATCCGTAATTCCGTAATTCGTCCTCCTCATCCTCCTCGTCCCCGTCCTCCTCGTCCCCGTCCTCAGCCTCGTTGTCCTCGTTCTTCTCGTCCTCCTCGACCCCGTCCCCGTCCTCAGCCTTGTCGTCCTCCTCCTCCCCGTCCTCATCGTCCCCGTCCTCGTCGTCCCCGTCCTCGGCCTCGTCGTCCTCCTCGGCCTCATCGTCTCCGTCCTCCTCGTCCCCGTCCCCAGCCTCGTCGTCCTACTCGTCCTCCTCGACCTCCTCGTCCTCCTCGTCCCCGTACTCGTCGTCCCCGTCATCAGCCTCGTCGTCGTCCTCGTCCTCCTCCTTCTGGTCCCCCGTCCTCCTCGTCCCCGTCCTTAGCCTCCTCGTCCTCCTCGTCCTCATCATCATCCTAGTCCCCATCCTTAGCATCCTCGTCCTCCTCATCCCCGTCCTCCTCTTCCCCGTCCTTAGCCTCTTCGTCCTACTCATCCCCGTCCTCCTCGTCCCCGTCCTCCCCCTCCTCCTCCTCCTCCTCCTCCTCCTCCTCCTCCTCCTCCTCCTCCTCCTCTTTTTCCTCCTCCTCCTCCTCCCCCTCCCCCTCCTCCTCCCCCTCCTCCTCCTCCTCCTCCTCGCTCCTCCCCGCCCTCAGCCTCGTCGGCCGCGCCCTCGTCGCCGCGGGCTCCCCTCTTGCGGCGCGAGAGGGCCCTGCCGCCTGCGGCGCCGCCGCCCGCGCGGAGCCCCGCGCGCACCTCGGCCAGCTGCAGAGGTGGAGGCCGCCGCCGTCCGCCGTCGACGTCGTCGAGGCCGCCGCCGTCCGTCGTCGTCGTCGTCGTCGTCGTCGACGTCGTCGTCGACGTCGTCGTCGTCGTCCGTCGTTCGTCGTCCTTCGTCGTCGTCGTCGTGGTCGTCGACGTCGTCGTCGTCGCCGCCGCCGCCGACGTCCGTCGTCGGCGTCGGCGTCGTCGTCAACGTCGTCCGCTTTCGTCGTCAGCGCCGTCGCCGCCGTCGACGCCCGTGTTCGACGTCCGTCGACGTCCGTATCCGACTTCCGTCGGCATCCGTTTTCGACGTCCGTTGGGCCGCCGCGGCCGCCGCCGTCGACGTCTGTTGTCGTCGTCGGCGTCGTCGGTTCTGTCGCAATCGTCGTTGTCGTCGTCGTCCAGAGGAGAAAACAGACACCGATGCCGCGATCTTCTCCCTCGTCGGCACATTTAGATTCGCCTGGATATCTTGGTAAGCAAGTACCCTTAGAGAGGCTTGGGGAGTAGCATCGACAGTATCTTTTGGTTCCCCCCGTCATCATCGTCGTCGTCGGCGTCGGCGTTGTCGCTGTTGTCCGTCCTCGCCGTTTCGGCGGCGTCGTCGTCTTCGTCGTCGTCATTGTTTCAATCCTCGCCGTCGCCGAGTCGACGTCGTAGTCGTCCTCGCCGTCGGCGTCTGCGAGTCGTCGTAAGTTTCGCTGTCACCAGTGTCGATGTCCCGTCTTCGCCGTCGTCGTCGTCTTCGTCGTCGTCAGCATGTTCCTTCTCGTCCCGCCTCGTCCTCCTGCTTCTCAGCTTGGTTCTATTCGCCGCTGTTATAGTTTGCGGTCATGGGACCTTGTACTGCGCTCCCCTGCTTCGCCCTCGCCCTCTCTCCGTCTGCGTCCCTCCTGTCGCCGTCCCCGTTTCGGTGCCTTCTGCCGCTGGATGCCGCATCGCTGGAACAGTCTCCGGACGCGCGAACCAAGCGAGGCAATAGAGTGGGTGCGTTCGCTAAGGAATGTCCCCAGGAGGCTGCAGACCCTAGAGGATTCCTTATCTGATTAGGGCGGCGGCGATGCCCATTGCCGATCCGCCATTGAGGTTCCGCGGGCTACTCTCGGGGGTGGACAGACCTCCTACCCTGACACGTCGATTAAGGAATTGGTCGTTTTCGGTTCGCGAGAGGGCGTCGCGGCCGACATTTTTGCGGGTCCAGGTGCGTCGGTTTCGGTCTCAGGCCGTTTTCACTTAATGGAGGTTTACTAAAGGAAGGTTTGTCCATCGCCGATACTCTGGATTCCTTATCCAAGGTTTCCTTGATCAAATACCTCCACAGTGCGAGCGTTGCGTGCAGCACCCATGTTGAAAGAGAGGTGCTCCTGCTCCGCCATCCTGCTTCTCATCCTACGGGGCGCCCGTGCGTCAGCCTGGCGCGCCGCCATGGGGTCCCTTCATCCTTTCTCTACTCCTCCTTACGCCTCCACCCTTACTCCCTACTCCCTTTCGTCCCTTGTGTCCTGCCCCTTCCACCCTTTCTCCCTACTCCTCCCCGCTGCTCCGCCCGTTCGTCCTTCTTCCTCCCTGCTCCCCCACCCCTCTCTCCTCCTGTGCCGGCCTGCCTCGACGGGACCGAAGAAGGAGCAGCAGCAGGCATGGATCCTCCTCCCTCCTTCCTCGCCACTCCTCCCACCCACCCAGGAGGGGGACGCCGTTCCGCCGACCCCCCAAAGGAGGCGCAGGCAAGGCGAGAGGAAGAGGAGCCTCCTGGTGGTATTGGGGCCTCCTTATGGCGTGCGAGAGTGAGTCTGCAGGGCCTGACCAGGAGGATGGGGGGGGGGCGCAGGGCGAGCAGTGAGAAAGCACGAGACCACGAGTGGGGTCGGCATGAGAATTTGAGAGAGGGAGGACGGGGAGGAGGGTTCGCAGCACGCTCACGCAGCACGCTCGCACTGGCGGTCCACCAGCAAAGGGAGCACGTCAATGTGTGGAGCCTCTTGTGGCCTCTTGGGGACCTTGTGGGGGCGCTTGCTGGCCACTGCTGGGCCTGTTGGGGTCCTCGTGGGGGGACCTTGGGCGCCTGACGGCGATCTCGGGAGTCCCTTTTGGGCGGGGCGCATCCCCACCAGCCCATTCAGAGAAACCCTGCCCGTGAGAGTGAGGGGGCAAGGGACGAAGCGACACATGTCGTGAAACAAAGCGGGCAACCAGGCTGAGCGAAGCGATCTTTTGCAGCAAGGGGCCGGGGCCTCTTCGGGCCATCCGTGGGACCGGCGCGGGGGGTGGGAAGGAGGAGGAGGAGGCGGAAGAAGAAGAAGAAGAAGAAGACGGCGACGACAACGACGATTAGGAAGAGGAGGAAAAGGAAGACGGTGAGGGTCAGGACGAGGAGGAATAGGAGGAGGATGAGGAGGAGGAGGAGGAGGAAGAAGGCAACGAGGACGAGGACAGAGCCCTCAAAATCGCCTCTTGGAGCCCTCCTGGGGCTCTGTTAGAGGATCTTGGGGTCCTCTTGGGGTTGGTTTGGGGGGTCATGGGGCCCTCCTGTGGCCCTCTTGGAGCTCTCTTGGGGTTCCCTTGGGAGCCCTGGAGGGCCTTTTTGGGGATAATTTGGAGGCCATCGATCAACATGGGTGGGTCCTCGAATCGCCTCCCGCCGCCCGGGGCGGCCTCTTGGGCCCCTCTTGGGCCACTCTTGGGCCATCTTGGAGCCACCTTGAGGCCTCAGAGCGCATCGGACACGAAAGGGCGAGAAGTCAGACGGCATCGATTTCACATCGGTTGTTGAAGGATGTTGGCCTCTTGGGGGTCCTGGGGGGCTCCAAGGGCACTTGGATCCGTCTTGTGTCCTTCGTTGGGCCTCTTGGAGGCATGTCGGAAGCTATCTTGATCCACCTTCGGTTATCTTAAGCCGCTTCGAAGGCCATCTTAGGGCATCGGAGGCCCTCTTGGAGCCGTCTTGGGCGAAAAGAACCCTCTAACACATCGTGGTCCGCCCCCAAAAAGTTCAGGGCGGGGAGAGGGAGGGTACCCCTCCCCGAGGGGAAGAGCGCTTTGGAAGAGGATAGAAAGAACTCCTTAGACAACATTCGCCCAAAGGGCTGATGGGATTCGAGTTATCTCTCTTGGGTCCCTCTTAGGGCCCTTTAGGGGTCCACTAGGCCCGTCGTTGGCGCCTCTTGGGCTGTCTTGGGGCCCTCTTGGGCTGTCTTGAGGCCCTCTTGGGGGCATTTTGGGCTGATTTGGAGGGATCTTGTGGGCCGCTTGAGCTGTCCTGGACGCTGTGGAAACTAAAAGGGCGAATGGACTGGGAAGATGCTGGGACCTTCTTGGGGGCCCTTGTGGAGCTCTCTCTGAGCGAACTCGAAGCCTCATGGGCGGACTTGAGGCCATCCTGCGTTCTGTTAAGGATTTTCCTCGGCGTGGTGGAGCCCCGCTGGAGCTGGCGTAGATGTCATCTTGAGCACCTTGGAGACCACGGAGTGCAGATCTGGAAGCTCCGGAGGCCCTGGGAGTGCGAGGAGGAGGAGGAGGATGCGGAGGAGGAGGATGAGGAGGAGGAGGCGGCGGAGGAGGAGGAGGAGGAGGGGGAGGACGAGAACGAGGACGAGGAGAAGGACGACGAGGAGGAGGAGGAAGAGGTGGAGGTGGAGGTGAAGGAGGAAGAGGAGGAGGAGGAGAAGGATGGCTCCAACTCTCCCCCCTCCGATATTCGATTTCGGACGCCGGGGGAGAGGGACGGCCAATCAGCTCGCACGCCTCGTTGCACCCCGGGCCAGCGGGGGTGGGCGGACCTCCTCCTCCGCAGAAGCCTCGCAGGTCCAGCAGGCCGCCGTCCCCACATGGTGGCCTCCCCCTGCCTCCGACGTCCCGGTTTGCTCGATCCTTGGGGCTCCCCCGTCTTTCGCACGGGTTTCGCGCCGCGGGCTGTGCTCTGGGGCGATCGCGGAGGTCTCACGGGCCGTCTCGGGAGCCCTCGAACTCCACGAGGCGAGCCCGCAAGCTAACACCCCCCCCATGGGCTAGATGGCTGTGAGAGTTTGCCTACTGGAGGGGCTCTTGGGCTGTTTTGAACAACTCGGAGACTCTGGTTGCCCTGTTTTACTCTTGACCCTTGACGAAGATACCGAACGCCCTGACGGTTCCCAACACGTCGTTTTGGCGGGCTTTTGACCCCTGCCAGGACCGCCTACATGGTCCATTTTGAAGCATTCGACCGTTCTTTGCTTTTTTGGTGCCACGATCCTTTCATATCTAATTGCTCTATCCTGGGCCTCTTCCTGGCCACTATCGGGGGCCAGGAACAACTAGAGACGAGCACACTTAGACATGAGCACGACCAGAAAATGAGCGACGTGTACGGTTCGATTCGATGGGATGTACAGTGCCGTTTTTTTCATGTGCTCTGCGTGCGGATCATGTATAAAAAATGCAGGCATTTAGTATTAAAAACAACCATGAGTTCATGCATAAATTGATTCTTAATCTAATCATGTCTTTAACATCATATATATACATATATATATATGTATTAAAAACCCTATGTATTAGAAACTGCCCTGTACTTCGTTGGCTGGGGCCGCGCTTCCGGTGTGCTTCGATCCGGTGCGGTTCCCCGGCCGGCCTCGGTGGGGGCCGGCTAAGGGCCAGGCGCGGCGCTCCGGGTCCGCCTCCGTTTCGGGGCGACCCGCTGGCGCCTCGACCCGCTTCAGGAGGGGAAAAAACACACAGACACAATGAATCGTCGATTCCCCAGAAAATATGGGAAACTATGGGAAGTGGGGGGGAAGACAGAGCCCCAAACATATTGGAAAATATGGGGAATATTTTCATTTGTGTGTATTGATTTGTGTGTCCCAGGGCCCCTTCACCGTTGCCGATCCCAGCGGGTTTCGCGATTCGGAGCAGCTAAGGGGCGCCTTCGCTCGGGTGCTGCTAGGAGTGCTCCTGGCCCAAGGTATTTACCCCTACAGCTGTGGAGGACGATCAATGGAGAGGAAGCATGTTGCCAAATAGTTTCCAGATGTCTGAAACATGTCTTCAACATGTTTTATCATGTGAAATTTATCCCAGTGCGACCCTACCTAGGAGTTGGAGCCCCTAGGAACGCAGCATTAGTAGTAACAGTAAAGCTAAGCTAAAGCTAAGCTAAAGCTAAGGTGAAGTTAAGCTGAAGCTAAGCTAAAGACAAGCTAAAGCTAAGCTGAAGCTAAGCTAACGATAAGCTGAAGCTAAGGTGAAGCTAAGATAAAGCTAAGCTAAAGCTAAGCTATATCAAAGGTAAAGCTAAGCTAAAGCTAAGCTAAAGCTAAGCTAAAGCTAAGCTATAGCTAAGCTAAAGCTAAGCTAAAGCTAAGCTACAGCTAAGCTAAAGCTAAAGCTAAAGCTAAAGCTGAAGCTCCCAGGGGACTTGGTGAACCGCGGGGCGGATCCTGGGGGAACCGCATGGGGCGGGAAACACTGTCCGGCCCCTTTAAGCTAGAGGGTAAGAACCCTTCTAGGCAGAGCCTAGGTAGGGAAAAACATAACATGTTTTATCATCTGAAAAAGCAGGTTTAAACCATGTTGAGAAGCTTTCCTTACATGTTCAACACATGTGAAATTCAATGATAGGACTGTTAGGGTGTCCAATGTCGTGGCATCCCCAACCCTACAGGATTCTCGGGGTGGCCCAGGCGGCCTCCATCAAGCAGTGGCGGAACGTCCTGGCGTGCATGTAGGCCTACCAAACAATGTTCTAAGAACCAGGTGTGGTTGCCACGACATGTTTTCAGAACATTTCTGGCTGAGTCTGTCTTGTTATGTCACATCGGGTTTATGTTCTAAGAAACTTGTTGTAGTTGTTCGAACATTTTGGGGTTCTAAGAACAGTTCGTGGTAGCACTACAGGAATGCCGGGACGGCCCACCCCTCGCGAGGCCCAGAGGCCCCAGGGGCTCCAGAATGGAGCGGGACGCTAAGTGCGGGCAAGATTTATATCCACATCCAGTGCGCCTTCGATTTGTTTGGAAGGGACGCCACAAGGCCGAGGTGCACTGGACGTGGATAAAAATCGAGCCTCTGGGGGGCCAATTTTTATCCACATCCAGTGCGCCTCGGGTTTCTGGGGAAGGGAGCCCAGAACCCCATACTGCAGTGGATATGGACAGAAGTGCTGCTCGCACGGGGGGCACCTCGGGCCAGGGCCACTTCCAGCACCCCCCGGCCTCCTCTTGGTGACAGCCCCGGCGGATCCGCAGCCGGCCTCCAGACGCCGAAACTTGTCTCAGGTCGGGCATGTCCCTCTACAGGGGGACTATTCAAAAAATTAGTTCAAACATAGTCGGGCGATTATTCTGTTGCATTCTTTGACTATTTTCTTATT